GCCACCCCTTCACTGTCACTGGGGTAAGGACCTGGAACTTCTTCCCTAATAGCATTACAGTGCAAGGAGATAGCTCAGTACCACTTTCTCAAGGGAAATTAATGACAAACAAGAAATGTTGGCTTTGTTCACGATACCTGCATCCCATGAAAGAATATTAAACCATATAATATAGAGGAGAAAAGTATTCTCTCTGTCGGTGTGAATCAGAATTGTAAAACTGCCAACATGCCAAAGATTTCAATACTCAAAGCCCCACAGGAGATTTTACTACATAGGCAGTTCAAAGTGCAATAAAATCATATTAAAAATATATGCCCAAACTTAAAAATTAATTTACACACAACAGGAATGGGATGGAAAAGGGATTTAAAGATGAAAACATCAATATAGAGCTTATTAATAAATACATAAGTAATCAGAAGTAAAAATTGATGTTACTGGGTTTTGTGACAGCAATAGCACCTTTTATGAACTCAGAATGGTGCAGAGTGCCTCACAGTCAGAGAAATATATCTGAAGTGTAGTCATTGCTGTATTGTAGGAAAGCTGGATTCAGGATACACCTAACAAGTGTTTAAAGCATCACAGTTACAGAGATAATATTATAATTACCTTAAAAGTGGACCAGCAATTTTCAACTTCTATCATTTAATACACAGGGCCTTACACTCACTAAGATGTTTTTTTTAAAGGAAAATTCACTGACTTAAGATAACTATTGTGATCACCTGACCACAAGCCAAGCCAGTTTATGAAAACATTAACAAACAAGATCCAGCCTGAACAGAAATTAATGAGCCATCAAAATGACTGAACCAGGTCACACAGATCTGTATCTCTCACTCAATTGACAGCTTTCTGGAAGTTTTACATTTGGAGCGAAAGATTCACACGTAGAGGATCTGGCTTAGGGGAAAATAAACAAAGAAGGCAGACACCGGAAGATACAAATGAACTGTATTTCAGGCAGAGAGATCCGAGAAAAGAATTATGGTATTGTAACAGCAGAACTAGAGGGTTGCCCTGCATTTCCCTATTTTCTCAGCATCTTGGAAGATAACATCCAGTGAAAAGCAATCGGAGCAATATCAATTAACCGAGAACTCAAAGAGAGCTTGCTTTGGGTAAATTAGTAACCAGTCTAGTGATTAAACTTCAGAAATACTTCATTGGCTATAAAGCACCTCAGGATGTTCTAAGGTAGTGAAAGACGTTGTACAAATGCAAGTCTTTGCCCTTATTACACAACTATGCCAAGCAATGAGATTTGACACAACAGGAACTCCAGCAAATAAAGAAGCAGAAAGGGTGATCAGCAAGGGTGGAAGTCAGGGTGGGGTCATGCTTTGAGGCTAAAACACTCAGTAAGACTTGTAGAAATGGGAATATCAACTTCAGACACCAAGAGCTCAAATCAGAGAAGGTTAGAGACACTAAGCAATTAGAATTTATGTGAAAAATACACCATTAGAATAAAATAATAGTATCACTTTCATGCAATCCCTTGATTAGCAATCAACTATATCCCTCATTATTTATTTAAGATCAGGCTATCAATGATCTATTTTCAGTATTATAGAATTATTGGTCATTTAGTTTGTTCAGTTAACAGAGTTACAGATTTATAAAATACTTGATCAATGCTTTATCCTTTTCATATCTGCTGATGAATTATTTATCAAAGACAGACTGAAATCACTGCATTTAGTCAGCAAATTAATTATTTATTGTTGCTAGTCATATGCTTATCAATTGCTGGCTCAGATAGGGAGATCTCTACCTTTACATCTCATTGTTTATTTAATAATAATTTTTTTAGAAGAAACTATTCACTTTACAATTGTCTGTCGATAAAATAGATGCTGTCTACTGAACCTGTTACTGAATGATTTATTTAGGGAGCCCCGTTCAAGGAAGCAATTACCTATGAGAGTGATCATTTATTCAGGAGATTAAGATCACAAAAGGAATTTCCTGCAGTGACACTGATTGCATGGGGATCAAAGGTAAAATCCTAGCACAGAGGAGGCCAATCAGCCCATCGTTCCTCTTCAAAGGAGCTCCAGAGGTCTGCAATTCCTTCTCCTTCAAATAGTCATCCAATTTCCTTTCGAAAGATACCTTTGATTCTGGTTCAATTGTTCTTTCAGCTGGCATGTCTCAGACTGTACCAACTCCCTACGTCAAAGAAAAACAATGTTCCCCATTCTTACATCAGTGAAATACTACTGAAATCAGAAATAGGAACAATTGTTCTTCTCAAGGGCAACTAGGGATGGGAAATAAATGGTGGCCAGCCAGCGACATCCAAATCCCATGAGTGAATTTTTTTTTAGAAAAGTGCTGGAAATGCACAGCAGGTCAGGTAGTGTCATCGGTGGAGAGAAATATAGTCAATGTTTCAGGATAATGACCTTTCTTTAGAACTGAAAACAGATGGAAGTAAAGCACATATTTTCTAAAGCACTTTTAAACCAGTGGAAGTGGGAAGAGTAGCAGGGTAAGCAAAACATATAAAATTCTGATGGGACTGAACGGGCTAGATGTGGGAAGAATGTTCCCGATATTGGGCAAGTCCAGAATTAGGGGGTCACAGCCTAAGAGTGAGGGGTAAGCCATTCAGGACAGAGATGAGGAAGAATTTCTTCACTCA